TTAGCCGTTACAGCTTTGAACAGTAATAATGCGTTTACAAAAGCTGATCCTAGAAGCAGTTCAACCAAACCATGTGAATAGGCTTTTATTTGATCGGATAAGTCAATAAAAGCTTTGGCTTTTACCGTCCAGACTTGACTGCAATCATAGGGCCAACATGCTTTGTAGAAAGGGTTATAACATCGTGTTATAACTACAATTCCTGTATCGGTCTCCATAGAAACACTTCTACCTTTTTTAGACGTTTTTGTGTGACTTCTTTGGGTTGTTTTTCCGATTCTTTCTCAGGATGCCAACTAGATGTGTGTTTCTATTTAGGAATTTATGCGCTAGATCCACACTCGTATAATAATTGTCAACGTAGGTTGTTCTACAGCAATCCAAAAGTGAGATGAAAATTTTGAGCTTTCGAACAGTAAATGCAGAAGTCAAATGTGCCACCTTCCATGCACAGTTCGACATGTTTGACTCCAAATTTGTCTCTTATTCTTTATGTATTGGGTACTAAACTTTCATCAATGCATATCTGTTCTTTAGGAATGCAATAGCGTTTGTAATTAGTTGTCAAGCATTCAATAACTGGTCTAAATTTATAGTCTATCAGAAACATCTGCATTTTCATTATTACAAAAGTGCCAGTTTGCTAACAACAACTCGAAACGGTTTCGTGACGTGACATTACTAACTTTATTTGCATATATTGTTTATTTAATCAATTACTGGACATATGAGACAAACGAAACAGACCCATCCAAAGCTGCAATCTAGCAGAAGACAGACATTTTCAGCTATTTTCTGTGAAGCATAACGATTAGTTTCATTAACCATGAGTTCCATAAAATCATCCATTCAACAATACTCTCATGGCACATACAACTGCATTGTCAACCTCATATAGTAATTCCTTCAAATACCTTCCGGTCACGTTAGACCATAGCAGAAGAGCTACATTTATAGCTTCAAATTCGTTTTCTTCGTCTGAAGAATCATCTATGTGGAAATGATTTACATTATTCTCACTCAGCACATACTGGTCGTCTTCAGATCAGCCTACAAACGGTTTATTCTCTTCGTTCGATAAGAGTTCATCCAAAAGACGCTGTAGTCTTGCTTGTTCTTTTTAGTATTCACCCATATCACCAAAAGAATTACATGTTCGTAAAAATTTTTTAGTAAGTAGGTAAATAAAACAAGAACTTTACTGTCCGAAAGGGGATAATGTTGGAAGTTAAACGATTTATTATCTATTATTAATATATAGGATATTGTAAGCTCTAATCAGTTAACAATAAAAAGCATTATCTATCTACTGTCCTAAATCTATAATTTTATGGTGTGGCCAGTGGTACTAGGAAAAATAAATATACCGTGGTAGTTAACGTGTTAAGTATCAATATGATTGTTTTCCCGGTAGAGTAATCTAATTTTTTTTCCTTTTATTACCATCCCTGGCGAGAGAGAAAACTTACGCCAATTCTGGAAGATTTCCGGTCATTCGAACCACCTTTTAATCCTAGTCGTTGTGTTTTTTAAGTATTCATCAACGGGTATGATCACAAATTTCTTGTCGTTTTCCTTGCCTTGGGCAATAACGACGTTTCGATACCTTTGTTGATGTCACACGACGAAATCAGCGATTTCAGCGGGTATGTCTGATCATGAAATCGTTTGTTGCGAATTGTTTGCGGAGTATGTGGTGCAGCCGCCTGCTTCTGTCACTAGGCGTATCTTTTCTAATTTTGTTTATCAAAGGTTTTTGCAGGATCTATATGCTATTCCTTTTTTTCTAAGTTTTGATATGATTGATGTTAATGATAAAGTAAGGTTTTTGACGGAAAATATTCTGACACTTTTTGATGCTCACGCTCCAGTGCGAACGTTTAAAGAACGTGCTGCCCCGACACCTTGGATAACGGACACAATAAGGAGAATGCAAAAGCTTCGAGATAAAGCATATAAAAAATATAGATCATTAAAAACAAATGAGTTTTGGCAATACTATAAAGATAGGAGGAATTATGTAAAGGGAGACATAAACAGAGAAAGAAAGGCGTATGTTAGTCATTGTATGGGATTGGAAACTAATCCATGGATAGCGTTGCGGAAATGTAGAATTTTAACTCGCACAACTGACAGTATCTCTGAGCAGCTTGCTGACTCGGATCAAATTAACAACTATTTCACAAATATAGCTCCTCTGAATGGGGACATTGACAGAGATCTATATCAATCTTATATGAATAATGTGGTCACAAAACATATTTTCAATTTTGAATGTGTCAGTGATGCTAAAATAGAGGAAATTATTAACTGCATAAGAAGCAACGCCACAGGATTAGATGGACTTAATATTAAAATGATTCATTACTGTTGCCCTCACATAATACCTCAAATTAAAGACATAGTTAATTGCTGTTTGTCGGACGGTCGATTTCCAGACGTTTGGAAAAAGGCGAAAATAGTTCCATTACCAAAGAAAAAAAAGCCAGATTCATTTGCTGATTTACGTCCGATTAGCATTCTACCAGTGTTGTCTAAGGTGCTGGAGAAAATTATGTGTGAGCAGCTCCAGGCGTTTGTTTACAAACATAAATTGTTGTCAGAAAAGCAATCTGGTTTCAGAGCGGGTTATGGCTGCGCTACGGCTTTGCTTAACATAGTGGATGATAGTAACGGTACTGTGTTTGCTTGATTATTCGAAGGCATTTGACAGGATGAATCATAAAATGTTGTCCTCAATTTTGTATCATATTGGGGTGAGTCAACCAGCAGTAGGTCTTTTGATGAGTTACTTGTCTGATAGGGAACAGCAAGTCGTAATAAATGGTCGCTTCTCTAAGCCGTCATTTGTTATGGTCGGATGTCCTCAGGGATCAATGATATCTCCCTTGTTGTATAGTATATACACAAGTCAATTCAAAGACAGAATTCGGTATTGCAGTGCCCATTGGTATGCTGACGACACACAAATATACCATTCATTCACTGAATCGGAGGTGGATGTGGCGTGCGCAAAAATTAATGAAGACTTCGGAAATCGGCTGGATGGACATGCAGTCGCGACGTTTGGCGCACTCGGCATTGTTGTTTCGCAATGTGGTCACCAAGGAGAACCTTCCGCTCGGACGTACACAATCTTAATATAAGATTTAACTGAATTCTTTAAAAACAGTTTTACCTATCAAATTAGTAAAATATTTAATGATATTATTATGAATGTTGGAATGTGCTCGTCTGAGTGGCAGTTTAAGAGGCGATTAAGGACAGTGTTAATACAGGGACACGGGAATCTGTAGAAGTGGGAGGGAGCGACATATTTCATATTTTTCTTTTGTTTGCATCGGTCTTTTGTGGCATGAATTTTGATTAGATTTATTAGGTTATAATGTATGTATGTTGCAGTGCGATTACGGTTATGTAATTGAAACTATTGTTTTGCTTTTCTTTTTGTTTTTCTTTTCGTTGTGATGGGTTGGTGGAAGAACGGTGAAAACCGAACTAACTCATATTGAGCACATTTAATGTAAAGGATACTGTTACTTTATTACTGTAATTGAGAAGCTCAATAAAGTATTATTATTATTATTATTATTTCTACCCATGTTCCTATTTACTTTTGATACCATTTCTCTTGCTATGTTTGTCAGATGCAGTTTCTATGTTGCCTTCTTTTTTCACTTTTGACTTTGTTTGCTCAGTTCAGTCATCTATAGTAGTATAGTATCTAGCATCTCGCCGGACACAGTTCTATTAGCACGGTGATTGTTGACGCAATTAGATGAAAATGGCTAACTCTGTCTACGATGATAACAACTAAGCAGTGACTTCTTTGTACTTCTTTGGATGATGACGGCAATGGCAGCGCCGTTCCACAGCTTCATTATAAGCACAGAGCCATATCATCATCATTATCCTCTAGTCCTTAACGTGTATTGTTGAATACAGGCCTCCCCCATTTTTGACCAGTTCTATCTACATTTTGCGCTCTGTGTCTTATTTATCCAGCGTGTGGGAGGTGTTTCTTTACTTCTCTTGCCATTCTCGGTCTTCACTCAAGCAGTTTTTTGTCCATCTTCCATGATTCGAAAGGACCACGTGTCCTGCCCGCCCAATTCCATTTGAGTTCTGCTATTCGGGTAATCACTTCAGTAACTGAAGATCAAGTTTTATCCTTCTCAATTATTTAGTTACAGTTGCGAAACGTGTGTCTAGGTTCCCTAGGCAACTTCGGATTTACTCTTCTCTTCATTTTGGCATGTTTGGTTACCTCTCAAAATTTTTGTTTCATGCCCAAGGTATCACTGCCAAGATTTCACTAAGAAATGCATTTTGTTTTGGTTATGTTGATTTTGAACTCAATCCTGGCAAGCATTATAGTAAATTTAGGCATATTTTTTGAACGTTTTTTCTAAAACTAAATAATCTAACTTTATATAGCTTGGCAGTACTTTTCGTTTTAAAATTATCGCTGGGCTCTTATCATCTTGCATTACAATGTAACTGACAGCAACGCAATATTAGGAGTGATAGCAAACCAAACAAAAGATTGTCTTATTGATAACAATAAATTTAAAAACTTTATCACCGTTTAATATTTTTACGAAAATCTGTCAAAGTTTATAACGGAACTATCGTTTTTAAAAACTCCTTAGGTACAAAGTTAATAATTTTTTTTGGATGATCATAATCTGATTATGATGCGATAATCTATATAACAGAGTAAACAACCCTTTTTTTAAATTTACTCAACCCCGACTTTTGAATGTACAATATAATCATATTTATAATATCTAATAAAGATTACAATAAATTAAGAATATCGCAAGTCGGATTAATCATCAATTGATACGACTTTATTTATTGAGTGTTTTTTCTGTTTTTCTGTGAACTTTATTTTTCAAAATAGTCATTAAACTAATAACGATAAGAAATAGCAAAAATGATTTATCAATATGATCACACTATATAAATTGCAATTAGCTGCAGTAAAACATAAGTTGTCTGAGTTCACCTTGTTAGTTAACATGTTTATTAAAATTATTCAAATCTCCCTTTTAGTATTGTTCCTAAAAAACGTAAACGGTCATGGGATGATGCTAAATCCACCTGGTAGAAGCTCTGTTTGGCGATTTTATGATGGATATCCTACTAATTATAACGATAATGAACTTTTCTGCGGAGGAGGACTCACAGTGAGTATTAAAAAGAAATTTAACCCTCAGAATTTAAAATCCTTTTTATTCCTAGTCAACCGAAACTGTTTCAAACTGTGGAATTTGCGGCGATTCACTCGAATTACCCAGACCACGTCCGAATGAAAACACCGGAACTTACGGTCAAGGAAAAATCGTCGCCGAATACACAATGGGACAAGTAATCGACGTTTCCGTTACGTTAACCAGTAACCATAAAGGAACTTTTGAATACAGCTTATGCGTTTTGGAAGATGCGGATCAAATGGAATCAGGTGACGAATGCTTCCAACCGTTAACTTTCGAAGATGGGTCAAGCAAATTTGTTGTTCAATCGACAATATCTAAATTTGAGAATCGCGTTCAACTTCCGGATGATGTTACATGTGATAGATGTGTACTTAGGTGGCATTATAGAACCGGAAATAGTTGGGGGCAATGTCCTGATGGAACTTGGGCTACCGGATGTGGGATTCAAGAAACTTTCCGTTCTTGCGCTGATATCTCCATTAAAAATTAAACAAAAATATTGTACTATTATAATTTACAATGAATTTATAGTTACAATAAAGATAAGAGTTGAATTAAATTGATAGGGTATTTTTAAGATATACTAACTAGGTTTTTATCATAAATGATGATAATCGTTCCGCATTGTATTCATATACATTTCCGCCTACATCCTTTATTAAAAAAAATATAAAATAAAATATATTTTTTAAACGCAAATATTTGAGCGATTTTTAATCAAATAAACGTGTAGTACATATTTCTTCTTAATTGTTTATCCTTGTTGTCAATGCGAGATCCTTGTACTTATTAGAAAATTAATTTTCTTTCATAAAGATAACTAAAATCTTATCAATCAATTTGTTTTCGTTCCGTTTACATATATATAAGTTACCTCGATTTTTTTTAATTAACAATTTATCTTGATTCCCAAAGAATATACAAAATGTTTCCCAAAGTATTCACGCTCCTTCTTATAAATATTGCAATCGAAAATGTTTATGGTCACGGGATGATGTTGGATCCCCCTGGAAGGAGTTCTGTTTGGAGGTTTTACGATGGATTTCCAATGAATGTTAACGATAACGAATTATTTTGTGGAGGTTTAAACGTAAGTATTGACATTACTTTATAACAAAAAATTAAATTAACGAAATTATTTAGTATATGATTACCCAAGATGGAAGATGTGGAATTTGCGGGGATCGTTATTCCGATCCTCATCCGCAACCAAACGAGAACACCGGAACCTATGGAAATGGAAAAGTTGTGGCTGAATATAAAGTGGGCCAAATTATCGATGTTACAATTAGTTTAAACGCAAATCATATAGGAAATTTCGAATATAGGTAAACTTAATTATTATTTATTTGATCTTATTTATCTTGGGACGTAAAAATGACTTTACAAAAGTTGGATAGTAAGACAGATATTACTGTTAAAAAATGTTTTTGTAGTTTTTGCACTAGTTGTTCAAAGTTATCACCATGTTGTTGAACGCGAAGAGTAGGTAGTTTCCTTCTCTTCTCTTGTAATTCATCACATTCATTACTAACAGAACTGTCGCTGTTATCACTTTCGATAATTAATTAAAGTATCCTCTTTTTAATGCAAAAAGCTGTTTTGAAAAATCACTTTTAGTTCTTGAGAAGTAAACTTTTGAAATTATCGATTATTTCCAATTTTGCAATTTTCTCCGATTAAGTTTTAAAAATTCGTATAAAATCCACTTCTTGGAATATGAGTATGAAAATTCCCCAAAGTGTTAATAAGAGTGTCCTCTTTCCAATGAACCAACCCGTTTTGAAAAATAACTTCTAGTTTTTGAGAAAACAATATTTGAAGTTTTGATAAAATGTTTGATGTTGCAATTTTCATCGATAATTTTCAAAATTCGCTATAAATTTAATTTCTTGAACGATCCATGTGGAAATATCACCAAGTATTAATTAAAGTATCCTCTTTTTAATGCAAAAAGCCGTTTTGAAAAATCACCTTTAGTTCTTGAGAAATAAATTTTTGAAATTATCGATTTTTTCAAATTTTGCAATTTTCTCCGATTAAGTTTTAAAAATTCATATAAAATCCACTTCTGGGAATATAAGTATGAAAATTTACCAAAGTGTTAATAAGAGTGTCCTCTTTCCAATGAACCAACACATTTTGAAAAATAACTTTTAGTTTTTGAGAAAACATAATTTGAAGTTTTAATAAAATTTTCGATGTTGCAATTTTCATCGATAACTTTCAAAATTCGCTATAAAATTAATTTCATGAGGGATCCTTGTGGAAATATCACCAATTATTAATTAAAGTATCCTCTTTTTAATTTAAAAAGCGGTTTTGAAAAATCGCTTTTAGTTCTTGAGAAATAAATTTTTGAAACGATCGACAATTTTTTCGAATTTTTCAATTTTCGCCGATTTAGTTTTAAAAATTCGTATAAAATCCAGTTCTTGGAATATGAGTATGAAAGTTTTCCAAAGTGTTAATAAAAGTGTCCTCTTTCCAATGAACCAACCCGTTTTGAAAAATAACTTTTAGTTTTTGAGAAAACAATATTGGAAGTTTTGATAAAATTTTCGATGTTGCAATTTTCATCGATAATTTTCAAAATTCGCTATGAAATTAATTTCTTGACGGATCCTTGTGGAAATATCATCAATTATTAATTAAAGTATCCTCTTTTTAATGCAAAAAGCCGTTTTGAAAAATCACTTTTAGTTCTTGAGAAATAAATTTTTGAAATTATCGATTTTTTCAAATTTTGCAATTTTCTCCGATTAAGTTTTAAAAGTTCGTATAAAATCCACGTATGTTTCGTTAGTTAAATCAGCATCAAAAAAGATCATTTTGTATCTTAGATCCAAGTAAGTTGACATATCTTATCAGAAATTATAGCCATAATGACCGGATAGACATGCCGGATATCCGGTCGAAGGGGATGCCGAATATCTGGTATCCGGTTTTTCGCAAAATCACTATCCGTTCCATCCATTTTATTTTATTCTTTCCATTATGATTTTCTTAGCTTATTTTTATTTTCTGGTATTGATTTAGTCTAAGGTCTAGTAGTCTTAGGTTGGGTTGGATTGGGTTGGAGCTAATTTCAGCGCTGCAGAAAAAATACGCATGCCGAAAGGTAAATCAGTCAGCATGATTGCATGGAGCATGATGACGGTAAAGTTAATATAAGCCTCCTTGGTAAACCAGACCTTAACCTTAAGTAAATTTTACCAATTCATGAAATTGCCATAAAAAAGTAAAAGCTACAAAAAAATTGTAACAGTAATATCTCTCTTGTCATGCAGTTTTGTTAAGACATTTTTATGTTAATGACCTTCTTTTAAGATGTTTAACCAGCCCTTGAAAATAAAATCAAGAAACTATAAACATTCTGTACAGTGTACATCAATAAGACAATCCGGTGTTACAGCCCCAATCGCCATACTCTTCCCTCCACTGCCATACTCATTCAATTTCCTATGCTTTCATACCATGATCTTGGAGAGCGCTCCCTTTTTTTCCTTTCATGTGGTGTTCATTGGTATATTTGTTTGGCCCATCTTTTTTCGTTGATGCGTCTCAAATCATCTCAAACTTCTCTTTTCAACCCTGTGTGTGACAGTTCCCGTATACTTCTACGTAAATAATTCATTTGTATTGCGCCAACTCTCCTTCATCATCCAAACCTTACCATTTATCGGCAATATATCAATACCTATATCTCGGCCATACTCTTTCCATCAAGTTTCTTATTATTTCGATTTAGGTGTCTATCTCACCAGATAGAATTAAGTGTTCCCACCACTTTATTAGCTTTATCTATCCTGTTTTTGATTTCCGCTAGGTCAATACCATTCTTGTTGGCAATGGTGCCCAAATATTGAAGTTCTTTTACAAGACAAATTTTATTTGTGTTTACTATGAAAATTTCGAATTGGGCATCCGTATTCATTGGTATATACAATTGCTATCCCAATCATTTTGTGAACTGTGTGCAGTTTTTTCAACATAAACTCCATCATATGCGTTCTGTGCTATAATTGATTGGTCGTCAGCGAAATTAAATGTGGACAAATGTGTTATTAATTGGAACGCTCGTATCTTGGCAGGATCTCTCCCACTTGTTTATTGCAGCATCTTCATAAAGGTTAAACTTACACTCCTGTCTTAACCCTTCAACGATTTTGCGATTTTTTTAAAACTATCTATATGACGAAAAAATTTCAACTTTGAACAGGTGGTGGCCTGATGTGTTCTTAATGAGGGGAATATTTCATCGATGTTATGGCTGGGTAGATTTCAATGTGGTTTTATCCAAAATATGTGAAATAATTGCGTTTGGCGAATTTCGTTATCCGTTTTTCAAAGTTATGTCTTTCTAATGTTTTTAGAGTGAGTTAAGCAAATTATAAATTAAAGTGAAACAGAAATAACGCATGCGGAGACCCTCCTCTCTCTTCTGTTCAGTCCGGCTGGTGTGTATTCCAGACAGGACGTCGCGCCTTCATTTTACCAACATAAATAAATAAAGGCGTGACGTGCAGACTGGAACACACATCAGCATCATCTTTTCCGATTGGATTTCTTTATTAATTTAATCTTTATTAATTTCTTATTAATTTAATAAAAAAAATTTAATCAATTTTTAGTTTGTGTAAATTAGAAGATCCAACAAGTTATGAATCTGGAGAAAAATGTTTTAAAAAGTTAAAACTTGAAGATGGTTCTGATAAATTCCCAGTTCCTAGTAATCAATGGAAATTTGTCAACCGAGTTCAATTACCGAGTGATGTCACGTGTGAAAGATGCGTTTTAAGATGGCATTATAAATCTGGAAATAACTGGGGACAATGCGACGATGGATCTTACGGTCAAGGTTGTGGATATCAAGAAACGTTTAGGTCGTGTGCTGATATTGCTATATTACCTTAAAATTGTATTATAATATTAATAATAGTCGTTAAACACACAATGAATAGCATAAAAGCTGTATTGTTTTGTGAATTATTTCAAAATGAATAATAAAATATAACATTGCATAAATACAAAGTTGAATAAATCTTTGTGTAAATATTATTAAAGTGGAAATTAATTGCGATAAAAACTCACTCATTGAGATATTGATTTCGTAATTGAACAAATACTTTGTATTTTCAATTATTATTACAAATTTATCTATATCGTGACTAATAAAGTTTGGAGAATTGTGCGATTTTATTATTATTTTTAGCAATAACTTTGTTTCGCCAAAAATTATGGTATTTTTTTTTATTTGATGTAATAAAAATCTAAATCAACTCGCATATATTATTTGCTTTCCCCGCTTTCTTTTTTTGGGTTTTCTTATCAGGGTTTTATTGTCAGTAGGTATATAAATTGAGGAATATGTTAAATCTTATTACTTACACAATTTTCATGAATAATAATTGTAACAAAATAAATTAAAAAAAAATTTGATACTCAAAATGCTTAAATATTTAACTATATTAATTGTAGCGATTATTTTCGAATATGTTTCCGGACATGGAATGATGGTTAATCCTGCTGGGAGAAGTTCTGTATGGAGATTCTATAGCGGTTACCCAGCTAATTACAATGATAATGCAAATTATTGTGGAGGAAGAGGAGTAAGTTACTATAAATTCATTAATTTCAATTAATTTTAATTAATTCTGTTAGTTGTTCGTATCTTCTGGAGGTCAATGTGGTGTTTGCGGAGATCCTTATACAGACGCACATCCCCAAGCGAACGAGAATACTGGCAAGTTTGGAAATGGTAAAATCACAGGTACTTATAGATCAGGTCAAGTCATTGATGTCAGCATAACATTAACCGCTAATCATATGGGTCATTTCACTTATAGGTACTTAAATGCACTCGAATATAGGTCAATATTACGTATAATAAAAAAACTTTTTCAGTTTATGCCCACTTTCTAATCCTTCAACTTATGAATCGGGAGAAAATTGTTTTATCCCATTAAAATTAGAGGATGGCACTGATAAGCACTACATCACCAGTTCTCAATTTAATATTGTCTCACGTGTTAGATTACCAGCTGGGTTAAGGTGCTCTAGATGCACGTTAAGATGGAATTATAAAGTTGGTAAGTTTTTTAGGGTTATTAATTGCCGCAACCTATTTATCAATAACTTTCGTTTTTGTCTTAAGCTAATTCTTGGGGTTATTGTGAAGATGGTACAGGGAGATTGGGATGTGGACTTCAAGAAACCTTCCGCGCATGTGCTGATATTTCTATCATATAAATATTTAATTCTGTACAATATTTAAATATATTTGTTTAAATAAACAATTTTGCTTGAAATGAAAACAAAATCTTTTGCTTGATGTAATAATTATTACATATTTATATATTATACAATTCTAATGATTCCTAAGCATCTCCAGATTTGAGCAAAATTAAGCAATACAGTTTAAAAATTATTCTTACGTTGCAAAGAATTATAAATTTTGCTGCTGCATCAATTCTTGTTTGGTCAAACTTAGGTGGTGTTGTGGAAAGCTCATCAGTATTGATAGTGATGGAAACCTTAGAATGACCAAAAGTTTAGGGCTTTGCATGAAAGATAGAATGCATTACTAGTAAAGAGATATATCTTACCATATCAGTAAGATCATCAGTATTGATAGTGATGGAAACCTCAAAATGACCAAAAGTTTAGGGCTTTGCATGAAAGATAGAATGCATTACTAGTAAAGAGATATACCTTACTATATCTATTCTGAGGTGTCCATCACTATCAATACTGAAGAGGTTTCCACAACACCACCTAAGTTTGACTAAACAAGAATTAATACAGCAGAAAAATGTATAACTCTTTGCAACGTAAGAATAATTTTTGAACTGAATTGCTTAATTTTGCTCAAATCTGGAGAGATGTTTAGAAGTAATTCGGAAAATACAGTTCAACTTTAAACCGATTCCCACTTTCCTCTGTCCGTCTAAAGGACATCTTCTAACAGGTTGGCTTTACCCCAAAATTTTCCACCGATTTTATCACTTGCTTCTGAAGAAGATTGCAACATGGCATCTGAAATGTTGCACAATGTTTTATCTCATCTCTGAATATAGGCATCAAAATTGGCTTCCTACATTTTGACAAAAAATATAAATTCATGCGCTTGAATTATTCTTTTAATATTTATTTACTGCTTAAATCAGATTGCAAGGTTCTTCTAAAGGTTGGAATTAGCTGTGTAAATATGAGTGCAACATCATGAGTGTAATAGGTTTAAGGCATTGTACCACTCTTTGTATAACCTTAACATTATAGCCATCTTTTTAGAGAAGCAAACCGTCCTAATATTAGACCAAAGATTATCCGATGAAGTTTAAAGTTTTTGAAGATTTTTGAAATGCTTCTTTCACACAATTCCGGAAAATATTACTTTTAAAGGAGAGGCGCGAATTCTTTTGTAATAATTTCGTTTCAATGTACCTTACTCAATACTTCTCTGCCTGCAATCATTACATTGAATTTTTTCACTAAACACTCCTAATCCTGTCCTGACCAGAAGGTTAGGTCAATTCAAGAGCAATTCGGACTGTTGTGTTAACCTTATATTGTAGATATCTGTATTTAAGCATAATTGCGTCTTTGTTTTTTCATATCTTTGTTGCTATATGTCTTCACAATTCGATCCTCTGTCATGCTATCGATGTGCTCATTCCATTCTTTCTTTCTTTTTAATATCTAAGCAGTTATGTTATCTGTCTTGTACGTTCTGACTTCTTTCTCTATTTATCAGAGTTTTACCAGCTATTCTACGCACTATAATATTCATTTATTGACTGTAGTATTCTTCTTGTTTGTATGTCTTGAGTTTCTGCTGCATAAGATAGTATAGGTCTAATTGCAAACATGTAGATCCGCGCTTTGGCTTCAGTTCAAATATGTGTATTGCGCCATATTGTATACATTGATGATTTTATATCTTATTTCATTAAGTCATTTAAGTCACATTATCTCCGTATTCAGATATTTCGATGGCCAGCTATTTAAATTTCGTTGTCAGGTATATGGTTTTATCACCATAAGTTTGCATCTAATCGATATCCTAGAGTTTTTCGCCATTTTATTAAACTGGTACAGTAACCTATAGAGATCATCCTCGTTTTTCACCACCAACACTACATCGTATACATAGGATTTTGACCATATCTTCCATTTTGTGTCCTCCTTGTTGTTCGTCTGTCAATAAAATATATTTAGTTATTTTGCTTCTCATGATTTTTGTGTTGCCCAGATGAGATTCTTGCATTTTTAGTTCAAGACTGTGCCTCTGCACAATTACATCCGTTCTTACATATTTTCAACCTAATAATCAAAAACTCTGAATTTCTAAAGATATGGAAATTGAGCAGGATCTGCCCGGTTGTTAATGTAATAAGGATCATGTAGGTAAATAACTTTATGGGCTTTATGGCAATTTTGACATTTTACTCATCTGATTAGTCATCTGATTTGGAGTTTGAGTAAAGTTCCGTACAATATATGCAGGACACATCACTGCTCTCTTCTCCTTCCGAACATAAAATATTTCTGAACAGCAGTTCTTTTAAAACCCATGCTCTTGCAAGCAATGATGTCACAGGGGTGCGCAACTTGATGTTTGGATGTCTACTTAAAAAACTGTATAAAAAAGATATACCTTCTTTTTTCTTGTTAATCGATGGCCCATATGATTTTGCTCCCCTAATTCAAACGCTGATGTTCTGAAGTCATTTAATATGAAAGATAATCGTGCTTCCACAAAAAAAAAATATTGCACTAGCGCTTACCTAATTTTTTCTTCGTTAACTCCTTGCAGTTAAATTCTCCTTTTCTTACTTTTTTAACTCTCGCTTCAAGAGCAGTATGAAGAACTTCAAATCGTTTGGAAGCCTTTACCCATTTTACCCCCTAATACTTTCTCCACAGCTTGGTACATATTTGGAGTTTTATCAATATAAAAGGAGTTGGAAATACAGGATAAAATAATGTTTTAGACGAGTTTTACACAACGGTGCCTTTCAAAATAAATGAAACCTCGGTTCATACACTGATGGATTTTGTTGGAAGGATCAAGAAATAAAAGGAGAAGTAACACCAGAACTATGAGCTCATCATTACCACTCTCCAGTCAGAACTAAAATATTTGGCATGAAACGAACACCACATAAAACAGTGCAACCTCGCTCCTTGCACGTGTATTCTATTACAGACTTTTTACAGACCGTTTTAGCCGCCTCTCCCCTAGAAATACTTCTTTAGAAATAGCATTACTACTGAAAAAGAAAAACTGTCCCTTTACCAGTACAAAAAACAAGGTCTGAAAAGGGGACCGAAATGCAGAAAGAAGCTGGAAATGTCAAAAAATACAACTCTGAATGTAGTTGTACCAAAACTAATAACTGTTCTGGAAGTCAATCGTTAAATCCCCACAAAACTATTCCCTTTCATAAATCTGCATTTACTGGTTCTGCTGAAAATGTTAATCTATATAGTTAAGGGGTTAAAAGTTGCAAGCATCTCAGGGATAGTTCCAACACTTCTGCTTTTTCTTCAACACTCTATTGAATACATAATTTATTCTTGTGGTACTCTACGATATTTAATCCTTCCTTAGTCCTAGTATCGTCGGTAGTTCATTCATCAATGGAGTGCTTCTTACTTCTTCTTCTGTACTCGGCGTTTTAATAATCTAAATTTCTTGATTTGTATCTTGGGATCTATTAAAACTCTCGTTTCGCCTTCTCCATAGTTATCTTATCCACATTGTCCCAGTCTTTACATTGTCTTTACTTTTAGTTATAGGGTCTTAAAGGTCTTATGAATTCTTTTCCGTAGTAGGGCTTGTTTTGCCCTGTTCATGATTTTACACGATGCAGCTAACTCGATGTGGCTGCAGCTGAAGAAGACAAGGACTGCCAGCTATCATTCCTCGAGGCAGCAGTAATCAAGACCAACAATCAACAACTCAAACATGGAGTGCATCAGAAGAAACCACAGACGAATAGATACTTATAAGCTTTATCATACCACCACCCACAACAGAAGAAGTCCATAATTTGCATTCGCTTTTAAAGGGCTAGGAGATTATGCGACAGAGAAAATTTGAAGAATGAAGAACGACTTCAAAATGACGTACTCCAAAAGAATAGTTTTATGACGAAGGATGTCTAAAGAGTCAAGACGGAGAAAAAGCCACAAATACAGTAATAGTCAACCATTTTGTTTCAGATATAAGTTTCAGGTATTGGAAAGGATAGCCAAATAATTTAAAAATGACTTCATCGTGGTGAGACATCATCAAACTATGGAACTCATTGCCTATGGCAGAAACAAATTTCCTTCGTTGAATGGATCAGGAGTCTATAGACTATGATAGAAGCGTGGAAAATACTATGTAAGGCAAACTGGACTTCGAATTTGATTTCATACCAGATTTGAAAACCACTTATGAGTTAACAAACACAAATATTTCGAATTCGTCATCAAATAAATTCATAAACTTAAATTCCAGTTAACATGACTTACTTCTAAATCTAAAAAATATATCTAGATTCGATAAATATTTTGTAAATAGTTCTCATACATAGATAACATGGTACACATCCTAATTTTTGTTATAGAGAGTACGAACTCATACAATAAATTACTTCCACTTAAACAAAATAATAAGGTTGTTTTTTAACATTTTAAAGATAACATGAACAATAAGAATTAAAGCGTCACTTTCTTTTCTACATGATGCAATAAAAATTCGTACCTTACAATTCGCCAAACTTGTTTACCCTTTTTTCTCCTTCCCTTCCTGGACCATCTCTTATCAGGGATTTTGATAACTTTGTTGTCGGTATAAATTGGGGAAGTAGAATTGTTACATTTTATTAATTGCATATCATCACGTTCTATTATAAACAATTTAAATAAAAATTTAACATAGAGAAAGAAATTAAAAAAATCGAAATGTTGAAATTTCTAACGTTATTAGTCGTTGCGAATATTTTCGAATACGTTTCCGGTCATGGTATGATGGTCAATCCTGCTGGGAGAAGTTCTGTGTGGAGATTTTACTCTGGATATCCAGCCAATTATAACGATAATGCCAATTATTGTGGAGGAAGATGGGTAAGAATTCATAATTATAAGATTTCCACCTGCTTACAATGAACTATATTCACTACATCCAAAACAGATGTAATCTACAACAATCTTGTACATGTTTTTTTAGACGTTTGTATCTTCTGGAGGTCAGTGTGGAGTTTGCGGAGATCCTTATACAGCTGCACATCCTCAACCGAATGAGAACACCGGCACATATGGTAAAGGTAAAGTAACTGGTACTTACAAGTCTGGACAAGTCATTGATGTCAGTATAACATTGACCGCTAATCATTTGGGTTATTTCTCCTACAGGTAAATTAAAGGCGTTAAACAAAAACATTTTTTCAAAAAATATAATTTTTCAGTTTATGCCCGCTTTCTAATCCATCATCTTACGAACCGGGAGAAAGCTGTTTTATTCCATTAAAATTGGAGAATGGATCCGATAAGCACTACATCACCAGTTCTCAATTTAACGTTGTCTCACGTGTTAGATTACCAGCTGGGGTGAGATGTGCTAGATGTACTTTAAGATGGAGTTATACAGTTGGTGAGTATTTCTACATCCTATAATAACTCGTTCATATCTTTAATTTCATCTTTTTTATTAGCAAATTCTTGGGGTGTTTGTGATGATGGTACATCAGCGATGGGATGTGGCCTCCAAGAAACTTTCCGCTCATGTGCAGATGTGACCATCGTATAAGCTCGCATTATTAATTATCGAATAATGTATTTATTCAATTTGATTATTATTCTTTATAATAATAAACAACCTCACTAGTTATGTTTATTTGAAACAATAAATTTGTATTTTGACTTTCTTGCTAAACTAATCACGTTTAAAAAAATACCCACGCAGAATTCAAAACGATCATTTACGATTGGATCGTAATGATCAAGTTGTTGTTTTCAGTACGGAAGAAATGTAGGAGGAAGCGTTATGTTTGTCACTTATAACTTGTTTCGTTGTCGTCATGATCACGAACACAATGTAGAATCGTTGTGCATACAAAAAAATAAGGTTGATGAGATTGGGAACTAAAGTCAAGGTCGATACATTATTCATACGAGAAAAAACTGAGTGGAATTATAAACAACTAAATTGTAGTTACAATTTAGAAAATATAAATTTTTTACTTTTTGTGATAATTTGAAATGTTTACTGAGATATTTTTCATTTGGAAAATTTTGAAGGTTCAATGTCCAGTTAATTAAATTGTTTTATTTGAAAAAGATAACATTGTTAATATAATTTTATGCGTTATACGATGGTGAAGACGCATTATATTTCTCCTTTTTTTTTATGTTATTATCATTTCAGATATTATTGTATTGTTGAGAGAAAATTAATGTACGATATTTACTCTCATCTCATTTCATAAATCTTTTAAGCCAGTGATTCTTAACCTGCACACAATAGGAGAGGAGTCATAAAGTTTGTTATGGGCGAGCAATAAGTTGCGTGTGAAATTTGATGCACTAAGTAGTGTTCTGCCAGAAGTACGTTCACTGTCAAGGGGGAAATGTTTAAAACAGAGTATTTGAGATGTGAGAAAAATAGCTTTGTTTTTTGAAAATCGTGAATCAGAAAAGGAGAAGAACTTTTATACAAAAATAAAAGATATAGCAGAGACAGACATAGAGATATACTTTTTCAGTGAAACTGACACTTTATTATAAATGACACTTTATTACAGTCTTTCATACAAAGAAATATGAGCAATATTCTCATAGCGCAAAATAAGATTGCTGATTTTTTGCAAAAACCAAAACTTATGTAGAGTTCAAATAGGTGACACTTGTCCGTAACATTAACCGCATATACAACCAAGAAACTCACTGATTCCATAGTTCAGCACCTATCTTCTTTGATAAATTCGTTGAAGATGATGATGTTTCAGCTAACGTTCAGTTTCTCGAACTATACGAAGACAGTACCTCAAAGGGGGCATTTTATTTTAGTTGGCAGAGCTTTAAGAATTCTGATTTCATTTGGGAATACAAATAAATGTGAAAGAGGCTTTTTAACTTTGGTTTCTATCAAAACAAAATCTAGGAATCGGCTCAACAAAGAACACGACTTGAGATGTGCTTTTTCAGGAAGTAAACCAAACATAAAAAATCTTGTTAGGAAGAAGTAACATCGAATTGCATTAATTGTAATTCAAAATTTATGTGTAATATATTAAATAATAAAAACATTATTATATGGTATTTTTTATGAAGGGGTAAATCCTTATTTTCGGGCTGCTCATAAGGATAATGATGGTGATCAGGTAAAGAAACACTGTTTTAAACAGATCATTTCAGCTATAGTTAAAGCTGTATAAATTAATTGTCCTCAGTGGATGACAATGACTAAATTGTAAGGTTATTACAACCTCTTCATAGACTTTTCTATATTCCATTTTAAAACACATATTAACCTTATTAGTTTTTTGTTACAACCCTTTATGTCAGCTTTATGTTCTGTAACAAAATGCGCTTTTGACATCCATTTGATATCCAATAAATTTGATTTGCTACTGCTCAATAAATTCTTGAAGTTCAACTTAGCTACAGGAATGTATATATTTTATAAATCAATTATTATATTTATAGGTAGAGCAAGGGGATTGTGAAAAATGTCCCTGAGGTTGGTGTATTAAATTTGACATCCAGCCATAACATCCCGACTACAGCAAGAACATCTCTGCAAAATTGAACGTTAGTTATAAGCCCCATTCATAGACATACTGTCATTTGTGGTGATTATATACAGCAAGACCAGGTACCCGCCAAAACCGAAATCGAAATTCTGCTTTTGTCTCAGTTCCAAGATTTCTGGATCGTTTTATTACTATTTCTATGCGTTCTTGTTTGTAAAGAAGGCATCATGAATGACCAGCTGCAAAGTGTATCCCAAAGTGTTAGTAAAAGTGCCCTCTTCGCTACAAAATTAATTTCTTGAAGGATCGTTGTGGAAATATCACCAATTATTAATTAACGTATCCTCTTTTTAATGCAAAAAGCCGTTTTGAAAGATCACTTTTAGTTCTTGAGAAATACATTTTTGAAATAATCGACAATTTTTTTAAATTTTGCAGTTTTCGCCGATTAAGTTTAAAAAATTCGTATAAAATTCAGTTCTTGGAATATGAGTATGAAAATTTCCCAAGGTGTCCTTTTTCCAATGAACCAACCCGTTTTGAAAAATAACTTTTAGTTTTTGAGAAAACAATATTTGAAGTTTTGATAAAATTTTCGAGGTTGCAGTTTTCATCGATATCTTTCCAAATTCGCTACAAAATTAATTTCTTGAAGAATCCTTGTGGAAATAGCACCAATTATTAATAAAAGTATCCTCTTTTTAATGCAAAAAGCCGTTTTGAAAAATCACTTTTTGTTTTTGAAAAATCCCTTTTTGTTTTTGAGAAATAAATTTTTGAAATGATCGACAATTTTTTCAAATTTTGCAGTTTACACCGATTAAGTTTTAAAAATTCGTATAAAATCCAGTTCTTGGAATGTGAGTATGAAAATTTCCCAAAATGTTAAAAATTGTGTGCTCTTTCCAATGAACCAATCCGTTTTGAAAAATAACGTTTAGTTTTTGAGAAAACAATATTTGAAGTTTTGATAAAATTTTCGAGGTTGCAATTTTCATCGATAACTTGCAAAATTCGTTATAAAATTCATTTCTTGAAGGATCCTTGTGGAAATATCACCAATTATTAATTAAAGTATCCCCTTTTTAATGCAACAAGCTGTTTTGAAAAATCACTTTTAGTTCTTGAGAAATAAATTTTTGAAATGATCGACAATTTTTTCGTATTTTGCAATTTTCGCCGATTAAGTTTTAAAAATTCGTATAAAATCNAAAATTAATTTTATAGCGAATTTTGAAAGTTATCGATGAAAATTGCAACCTCGAAAATTTTATCAAAATTTCAAATATTGTTTTCTCAAAAACTAAACGTTATTTTTCAAAACGGGTTGGTTCATTGGGAAGAGCACACAATTATTAACATTTTGGAAGATTTTCATACTCATATTCCAAGAAATGGATTTTATACGAATTTTTAAAACTTAATCGGCGAAAATAGCAAAATTCGAAAAAATTGTCGAAGCCGGATATTTGGTAACTATCCAGTACCCGGCCGGATTTTAAAATATGGCCTTATAGGCTGGATACCGGATGGTTGCCGGATATCCGTTCTACCACTACTATAGAGTATACGTTGTGTATCTTACACTTTGCAACTGGTCATTAATGATGCCTTATTCAGAGAAGAAGGCATAGAAATAGCAATAAAACGATCCAGAAATTTTGGAACTGAGACAAAAGCAGAATTTCGATTTCGGTTTTGGCGGGTACCTGGTGTTGCTGTATATAATCACCACAAATGACAGTATGTCTATGAGTGGGGTTATAAGCCCCACATGATGCAGTTTTCATCGATAACTTTCTAAATCCGCTATAAAATTAATTTCTGGAAGGATCCTTGTGGATATATCACAAATTATTAATTAAAATGTACTCTTTTTAATGCAAAAAGCCGTTTTGAAAAATCACTTATAGTTCTTGAGAAATAAATTTTTGAAGTAATCGACAATTTCGATCTGTGTAATTAACACGTCTAAAAGCCGTACTTTCCACTATAGAGTAATTGATTAATCGAGGCCTTATCGATTCACTGAGCAATTGCATGATCATCTGCCCATTGCGGTTGCTTCATCATTCTTTTTGTTATATTTGTCAAGGTACATTGCATGAGATTCGATTGTTATTATTAATATTTGTCACATTTTCTTTTTTGGCTTCATTTTTCTTCTCGTCGAGTATTTTGTCGATACTCTGAATTGTAAAATTTGGAAAATTTTGCTTCAATCGATGTATAGTTTGCTTTTTTGATTCGTTACTGCCCAAACAGTAAAGTATTTTGCAATGTTTACATATGACTTTTGACAAGTCAGCAATGCGTTTGTGCTTTTGTCGTAGAAATTCCAACTCGTTCACGCACGGTAACTGCACGTACACAAACAACTTGTTTCATCTTGCATCAAACAAGATGAAATCTCCGTACATAGAAGCCAAAGCAGATACGAGAATACAAACTGACAAACTGACAAACGCCAGTCGAGGCTCGACGGACGAAGTTTCGGTTCTTGCAGAAGGTTTGGTCGATTTTTGGCCAAAACAGAAACATTTACCGAAACTTGTATTTTGGCCAAAGTTCGAGTACGCGGTCTTAGTGGATGATATACGACTGATTACGGTAGTATTCAGTCTAACAAGAAGTGACCAATATAATAATGCAACGTAATAACCATATTAGTGTGGTCCATCAGCTGAAACGTGTCTAGTAGATAACTACTTCATACGTTACATCTAGGACATTTATAAGTCACACTGCAACAACAGCCAACACATTTCTAAGCAGTATTAAACAATACATGCAACATTTTATGTAAATTTTAAGTTCTTCACAAAAAATTTTATGGAGATATTTGTACTAATCAACACATTATTAAGATTTTACTCAACACTTATTTATTGACTGAATAAATGAGTAAATATGTGCATCTCTTGAGTGGTCTTCTCGAGGTTGAACATGCTCACGTTGGCCACCGACATGTCAGTACTTGCAGTGCTTAATAAATGCTTAGTGCTACTGCTAAGGCAGCATATGCTACATTTGTTATGTGCTATGCTGAAGACAAAAATCGATGTAGATAGCCCAGCAGAAGGACAACGGCAATGGGTTTATTCACAGTGCGAACTTGACGGTAAGAATCAAATCTCTTTCGAATGTGGTGGTTAT